TTGTATCTTCATTAATTTATAGCATGTGTAATAAACTTATTTTCAATTTTTGTAAGTATTTCAGATCAGAAAAAAATTTAGACTTTTTTTTTAATTTTTGGTTTGTAAATATTTTGTGAATGTGTGTTTGCGTTTATTAACTGTTTTTATCTTGATAATTATTTATTGGTTTTAATTTGGTTTCTATAAAATTGTCATAAGCATATACCTGTTTTTTATTTATTTTTTATTTATACACATACTATTATTCACTCAGGAAATTAAAGGATAATTATACACGACCAAAGGAAATAAAAAAAAAAAAAAATACAGTTTAATGTTTGAAGGAATGATCTGTGGTTTATTTGGTGATAGATAGTAAAGGTTCTTTCTCAACTTTTCTTTAACAACAATTTTTCAGATTATACTTTATGTATGCTATAATGTTTATTTACAAGTATTTCACTAAATCTCAAGGATTCAATAACTGTTTATCACTTAATTAAATTAAATCGTAACTTTTATTAATTATAAAGTCAATTTACATGTCCCTTTTCTTTTCTCTTCAAATTAAGATTATTCAAAGGATAATATCTGAATGTCAAGTAAAACATTATATATGATTTGCACTCAAATTATATTATTTAATGAATATTTTTTTTAAAACCTTTAATCATGTAATTAATTTTATTAAATTAATTATATAAATTTCTTGACATTAAATTAATATTTGTATTAATTACTCACTTGTTAAAAATAATAATGAAATTATCTCTAAGTGCAGTCAATGGTAAACATTTAAACACTAACTTCAAGAATTTATCAGGCACTCCTATTCTAATAGCATTTTTTAATGCTTTTTCTACAAATCCATCTGAAGGATGCTTATGATTATAAAATAATTTTTGCATACATTCCTTCATAATTGGCTGTAAAATATAAATAATAATATTAATAATAATAAGAATAAATGTATTAATTTTATTAGCTAAATTTCAACACTTACTGCTTACCAAAGCTGATGAATACCTAGTGAGTTGATTCCT